CATGGAATGATTGGCCCATGGGGTGGGTGGGGGGGTGGGGGGGATCTAATGGAATGATTGGCCCATGTCCACATCATCACATCCAACATCCGTGCACGACCGACACACACACAGAGTTCGCCACCAAGTGGGGCAGCCTGATTGTCCAAATTAGTTTTAAACTTGTGTTTAGTACAGGCCTCTGTTTCAATCAAAATCTTTGAACAGCTAAGTTTCCCAAAAAGAATCTATATGAGTCAAATCCTTAATGCTCGGGTGTATTTGAGCTTAGTAGCTTACTCTTTAGTGGCCGCACATTGCATGTTGCGCTCAACGAAAACCCGACGCACAAGCGATCCAAAACGCGACGCACAAGCGAACCCCCGCCCCCATTGGGCGTACTTGGGGTTCAAGTGAATCATCGACATGGCTTGGCAGTTTGTTGGTCTGATACCTCCCTTCAGCTGCGATGAATCCACATAAATCCTTTGCCCACCCCAAGACCCAAAGTGCCATCAACAAAAGTTGAGAACTCCCACTGTGACGTGAAAACACGCCATGTCCAATTTGAGCAGTTGGAACTTCCCAAAGACACTCACTCGCCCAAAGACCATGTGGATCAAATTGGGTCCATCATCAATCAAACATAATCAAACTGAATCCAACATTAATCAAACCTGGAATCATGAAGGCCAAAGTATGCCTCTAGGTTCCCTCCCGGGAGCCGGCTGGAGCCGTGGCAACCTTGGAGCCTTAGCATGTCTCCCAATGTTGAGCCTTGGGGAACCGCCACACCAGGCTGCTGTAGATGTCGCACTTCTCAGTGTAGCACTTCTGCGCCACTTCGGGAGCCTGGAAAGGCCTGGCAAAAACGAGAGCGAGCGAGAAAGGTCGGCCCCCTCAAAGAACCGGGTCGAAGAAGCCCCAAGACTGGTCCTGGGTTGGAGAGTCTTCCCTTTGTTCTTTTTTTGAATTACGCATGACAACATGAGAGTGAGAACTAGAGTGAGACCATCCCCATGTGAAAAGGGTTTTCACTTTGTGGGTTGACCAACGAAACGGAGATGGCCATTCAATTGGTGAACATGCTATCCACTGACACCAGGTTTCTTGGGTGGACACCCTAATCATGCTGGTTCGGGAGTGTTCCTGGGACTGTCTCCTGGGACTCTCCATTCTATACCATTTTGCCATTGCATGTTCATTCCTTCATTGCAGGGGTTGCAATTCTTGGAACGAGAGCGTCTCACCACCCGATGGCCGACGATGAACACCTGACGAATGCGTTCTTACGCTGGCCGACTACTTTGTACCTGGACGATCCTGGACCCAAGTCCACAGGAGCAGGGGCGCAGGTGGACCATGAACACGCCTTGCAGGATGGGTTCGTACGATGGTACGATGCTGCTGTTCTCATGGTACCGCCGAGTTCACGGAGTTCGTACATAACTGCGTCCAAATTCAGGGCCCTGGATTCCAACGACTTCTGCCTCAATCTCCTAAAGCAATCTGACCCCTTACACTCAAAACTGAATCAAACTGGCCCGCTGTTTAACGCAATTTAAGACCAAAAGGTCGAGCGATGTCGGGCGCTGTTCGTAGCGAACCATGGACCAAGCGCTCCAGTTGCCCACCAGGCGTCCCAAAGGGGGCGGTCGTGCCGGAAACGACCTGAACGACAGCGGGTCGCGGGTCCATCGCCTGGTCCCCACATTGCTCTTCAAGAACACACCGGGTTGGAACTTCGTGGCTAGGCCAAAATCTGCCAACTTCCACCGGCGACCTGACATCGCAGTTGTGACCGGTCGAACCGAATCAACGATCTATATCTATGGAGGTCAACCTGTCCTGGTTTGGGTCTCCCAATTCTGAACCACAGCCATGTGACGAACAACGCAGAATCCGAGTTCACTGCGAAAAAAAAGGTGCTCGAAAGGCTGTTCCTTTGTAGATCTGGATTCTCTGCTTAATTCAATTGGGGTCTTGAGCACGTTCCCCCAGAAAGTGAGGTCATATGATTGTGAGCACTTTGGGGCCAGTTGTAGCACCAGCAACTCAAGCAAAAATTGTGGATCCAGGGTGTTTATCCTCTTCAAACTATGTTGAATTGAAGCTCCCCCCTTTGTGGGTTTTGAGCGCTTCAAAGGACAAAATGAAAATTGGATTGTGACCGGCACTCGGTTGCTTTTGTGGGCTTGTCTCTGACCCCTGTGGATCTTCATAGACCTTTTCCAGGTAGTCTGTGTGCGTTTGTCTTGGTCAAACGTGTTCCATTCTTCTACAAGTATAGGATCTAAAATTTTAGTATCCAATTAGAGTTTGATCAGGCCTCCCACCCCGAATCACTGCGAATCACCATGGGTAGATCTTGCGAAGAACCATGTTCAACAACAGCTTCCATTCTTCCGAATAAGCTTCCTTCAGGGCCCTCTCAAAGAGGGCTGAACATCAGAATAAAGACAGATTGTGATTTGTTTTATGTTTTTTACTCAAAGAACAATAACGTTGGTCCCGATAATGAAACGAGTTCCACCATGATTGTCGAATGTAGAAAAAAAACAACAACTGTGGAAACGAGTTCCTCCAATCCCAGAAGTGTACATTTTGCAAGAGGCCAGAAGTATTCATGTCATGAAAAAGCACTCATTCCTTGACTGTGGGCTCCAAAACCAAACGCTGCTCTTAGGAGTCTTCGTGTGAAACAAACAAAACACTGGTTGGGGAAATGGGCTTGCTATTTACTGAGCAGTCAACTACATATATTCTGTCTTCTGGACGAACACAGTCAGCAACAAAGGATTTTTTTCTGCAGCATGAGCAACTGCTTAGCATTTTGATCAAAAAGCCGGGTCAATCAGGCCTTGGCGAAAAAGGCAAAGCTACAAAACCATATTATAAAACCATATATGTGCCCAGCCAACCCACCACTCTCCTTCCTTTCACTTTGATGTCTGTTTGTCTACACTACACCCGAATCAACCCCAAACACCTTCACCGGTCATCCCGGACCCCCCCGGGATATCGGTTCCATCGAGAGACCCGATGCCAAAAGGACGTTGGCAGGTTTCACGTCACGATGTGCTACACAGTTCTCATGCAGAAACTTGATGGCTTCCAAAAGCTGAGTCATACAAGAAGTGATCTGGAAAAACTCCTCAGCCGATGCAACGAGTCGGCCGCCAGTGGGCTCTGAGATGTAGGATCTCCCCTACATAGTCTCCACCCTCTAAAAACCACCTCCAGTGGAAAGAAGAAAAGAAAACGACCACTTTGTTGCAAGTTCATTATACTGTGTTCTATCTTCTATAAATATGGTCCATTTGACTCAACGCAGTTTGTCACATGACGATAAATGGTCCCATGGTCGTTTTACCTTCTTCGAAAACGAGCATCGGGTGCCATGTACAGCTTCTCGTAGCTCATGGGGACGCGCTCAAATCCTTGGATTTGCTTAAGGGACTGGGAAAACATATTCCTGAGGAGGAGGTTAATCCATATGGAAAATAAGCAATAATCCTATATGCAAATCCAGGTATCTCTGCTCAATGTATTCCTGCATGCTGCCCTGATTGCACAGCTCTAGCACCATGTCGACCATTCCATCTGCGTTGTGAGCCTCAATGATCTTCACAATGCCCTCATGTTTCAAGTCCCTGAGCAAGTTCACCTCATTCTCACCGTAAGGGTCTTTCTCCAGTGAAACTTGCTTCCAAGCAAAATGTTTCTTCGCGCCAGTCTTCTCCTTGACTTCACTGACTTGTCCAAAGCCTCCAGAGCCCAGGTTCTTCACCACGGTGTAGTTCTCTTCAATGATGGATGAAGTACAAGATGTAGCGGAACCACCCGAAATCGCCCGGCTCCAAGTCATCTTGCTCACAACGATGGGGCAGCTGACTATACTGTTGTGGTCTTTAGAATTTGGTAGCTACAATATGCTGACAAAAGCTTCGGTGTCTCGCGAGATACATACCTTTTGCTGGAGAACAAAGCGCTTCGAGCACGTGAAAGCGCTTCGAGCACGTGCGGCGGGGGAAGCAAGAGGTTCAGTTGGTTTCAAGGTGGAAGCACTCACAAGCCATGAGAGAAACGATGAGAAACGAGTCCAATAGGTTCACAAATCGCTGCAACGAATTCTGGAATGGAATCATATCCCATCCAGAGAGAAGACAGGGAAATGACATACCGACCCCAAACTCCAGGGCATGCATGTTGGGGGTGACCACCGGTTAAAGCACAAGTGGATGAACTGGACATCAGGCCTCCGACTAACGTTTGCCCAAAGGCTCACTGCGACTGCAAGACCAAACAGCCACAGCCTGTATAGCTTAATGATCTTAATTTTAGTGTTCTTTTAAATGCATGGGGAATTCTTGTGCCTAGGTAAGCACTAGTATACCATGTCTTGAGCTGAAAGAACAACTGGCCAAGCATAACAGTCTACCAAACTATCAAAGGTCATGTACAGTGTACAGTACTGGATCACCTCCAAACCAATGCTCACAGCCCCGAGGTGGGCCACCGAAAGGCAACTTACAACCTTTTCGTGCAGCACAAACAACACTGCGATCAGGTCAGATTAGTCTACAATGTTACAAGCAGAATGGAAAATCTGAGCAGTCTTTTCACCAAAGAACATGCAAAGAAAACATCACTGTTCCCAGGCCTTCATTCATCCCCCCTAGGGATTTTCTAGAGTATGGGATGAGTTGTTGTTTTTTTTGTTATTTGTTGTTTTCAATATATGTTTACAAAAACATCATCCCATGTCAAAAAATGGTGGCAAACGCCAAACGGTGGGACCGACTCGTGATCACGAGTCGACCGCGCGAGCTCGGTCGCGCCGACCGGTCCCGTCCGAGCGAAGCGTCGCGGCATCGGGAAAAGCGCGGCAGCGCTGCGGAGCAAATTGGATTGGACACATGGTGAAACTGGCCAACAACTCAGTGAGGCCTCCAGTTTCATCAAACCTTGAACATCAAAGTTCATTTTGCATTGTAAATATAATGTGATCGAGTCATATTCTTGAACATGTGGATGCTGACGGACGAACATGTACATTGCAAGAACTCCGAAGCTGAGCAAATGCTGAGGGTTTCATAAAAGCGCTCCCAATCGCCCAATGAATTTGTGGTTCCACCACGACTCATGGCTAGCGGCAAAAGGGCTTGGAAAAAAATGCTGGGTAAGAGTCCCAATCACGGATTCTCTGTGACAATGTGCCTATAAATTTGTCGGACAATCCACACAAACAACTGCTGAGAACCCACCGATTGGGAGTCCAACACATTGGCATTTGGTTGTGGTTCGCGCACCCATCAGCTGATCACACAACAAGAATGTCCAGATACGGAGGTTAACCACTCATTTTCCAGGGCTTCTTCAGCACTGTAGCGGTTACTTTCCGGTGTTTGCATCATCGCCTTCGCGAAACTCAGTGCTTTGGCGCCGAACCTCGAGGCGTTCTTGCGCGTGGATCGCCGCGGGGTGGCACCCCGGATGGATCGGTTCGGTGGATCGAAGGGTCTGAGACTTGACAAAGCCTGGCAGATTGGAGCTGAACATGGGCTACGAACGGAGCGATTCGGACGCTACTAGGGCTCCTGGCCTGAAAAAACGAACGGAACAAAAACGCGAACGGAGCGATCGGACGCTAACTGCCATGATGGAGGAGTGTGTAACTGGTGAGCGACACCAGTCTGCAAAGGACCCATGTTCGCGGTGCGGTCATGTGTTGGTCCCAAACGAAAGGCAACAAAACAACATACGCTCTTCTGCAAAAAAGCACATGATGACACCGATGTGGTAACCCCCAAAAATAACTACCATGTCCTTACTGTTGCTGATGTTTCATATCTTTGGATCTTTGGACTGAGTTCTACGGTTTGATATTGGATAGATTTGGGAATTTGGCTATTGTGGGGGTACCATACATACATTACGTGACAATGACACATGACGCATGACATCATATTACATACTACATATCTTTGCTTTAAATTTATACATTGCATCACATCACATCACATGCATACATACGTGCATGCATGCGCGTATTATATATATATGTATGTATATCACACATATAAATATATATATATATATACATACCGTAACTAGTAACTATAGTGTAGTCCGCAGGATACTCTAATGACGGCATTCTGGACATAATGCATTCAGAGTGCATTCCTGGTCAGATCAAAGATCTATATATGGTGCCCTCAAAAAATCCTAAGCAAATCTGCAATCTTGGATTCAGGGAGGAATGCAGAATGCATTCCTCCATGGAAATACATTCACTCAGGCAAGTCTGTCTTTTCACTTAGGTCCTGGTACTTAGGAGTGTTTTGGCCGAAACAGCATTTAAACATACCCTATTTCTTGGGGATGCAAGATCTAGGACCTAACATTCTCCTTGTCTTTCTTGTGCATTCTTAGATCTTAGATCCCCACAAATATACAATATTCTGTTTGGGGGTGGGGGGTAAAATCTCTGAAGTACCAGGACCTAAGAATGGACAGGAAAGTGGTGGAGAATCCTAGATGGTAGGTCCTGAATGTCTTTAAACCTTGAAACCGTTTAAAACATTTGGGGATAGATGTGGTATCGTGATGCTTTTGGACGTGCAGTGACGTGCAGGTGTTTGACATAACTCCGTCTAACGATAGATAAAATATGGAAATTTGATTTCACACACCGATAGGAATCCAAACAATGTTTCAGTGCTCAGATTATATATATATATCTTTCTTTTAACTTATCTTAAATTATCAGCAAATCAATTCCTCTACAAAAGCTAATTCCTTTTCATTGTTTAACCAGGGACTACGTACAAAAGTCCCTTTTCTCCAAATCACATCCTTGCAAAAAAGGTTTTGTGCTAACATAGACTTTAGTTTCCTTTAAACATGCGATCCTTTACGTTTCCTTCCTTTTATGAGGGCTTCACCCTTCATGAGCCTCCTTTAAAAGTCATGGTTCATTGGCAATAGCCTCCTTATGCCTCCTCAATTCAACCTGTTACTTGAATCACAATTATTCACAATTTATCCTTGCAAATTGTCTTTCTCCTCAACCCTGTTAGGTCTTTACTATAGAAAATATTTGATATTCAACATGTCCATGCCAAAAGAAGTTAATTCTATATAGGCAAACAGTTGCAAAAAACACATGTGTCCTTCAACACGATTCACACTACCGGAAAAAAAACAATACAGTTGCAAGCCCAACCAATGACCTTGTAATATTCTGTGTAGCTCCCCTGAAAAGATTTGAATTCCCAAGTGCTAGTTTGTATTCTGAGTATTAGAGAGTGTTCCTCTCTTTATTTAGTTCTTTCCCTGCTGATATGACTGATTTATTCTCCCTCTTCCCAACAAACTCTTCCAGGCTTCACTGGCTTGCCTCTTGCTCAAATCGATTTTGTTGTTCAGTTTTATAGTTTCATCATCATCTTCTATTTGCAAACATGTTCTTAAAGGTGATTGACAATCAATCAAGGATAAAAAAGGGAAGTCAACATAACCCAAGAAGATAGTTTGCTTTCCACCCTTGCATAGCAAACACAATCATATTAGAGTCAAGCAATCCGCCGACCCTCTGCCACGTGCAGAGGCGAGGCGCGTCTTGTGGACGGTTGCTTGTACAGACTTTGATCTTGTGGTTAGAATGTTCCTTTGCGCGGATGTGTGGTTTCCGATGACTTCACGCCCCCGTCTCCGCCCTCCCTCACCCTCCCCTCTTCCTGTTGTGATGTTCAATCCCAGTAAATGATCTCCACAAAGTTGTGCTGCATGAGCTTAAAACAATCATCGATCAACGACTAATATTTGGTGTTATGCACGACATTGTTGCGATCAATCTCTCGTGCAAAGGCAACACGTGTCTGTAGAGAATTGTGAAGAAAGCTTGTTCCCAACTCCCCCTCCTCCCCCTTCCCCCTCTCCCTGAGAGAGGGCCTGTAACTATGCGACAACGGCCTTTCAAGCATACGAACAACAACAACAACAACAACAACAACAACAACAACAACACAATAAAAAACAAAACATACCAAACTGCCAAACTATAAAATAGAATCTTAAAAAAAGAACAACAAGTACCATATAGCAACGCATAGCAACAAGATGTAACAAACAACAATGAACAACAACAAATGACAACAAAAAACAACAAGCACAACAAGCTCAGGTTTGGGTAGCACGCTGACTTCTTTGCCAAGAGGAGCGTCTTGCACGGCTTCACGTCCGCAAGGCATACACCCCACGGACGCAAGCCATGCCAGGTAGGGCCAGCAGCAGCTCTGCTTTTATTCACAGTAGCCCCACGTCATCATTCAGTCCAAACCCTCCTTGGGGCGGCGGACCTGGCCGAAGGCCCTTATTTTGGTTCTAATCTTCTTACATAGTTTGTTCTTTTTTCGACCCCCTTTGTTTTGGTGCTCAGCTTGCTTCCCTGCTTATACACATACTTCATGTTGCGTTGTTGTTTGATAGACACTGTGCACCATCTGGAACAAAAGTCAAACAGTCTGGTTCTTCAGCAATAGCAAAATCGTTTCAGGCACAGCAGGACCTCTGTGCAGGAAGCATTTTACAAATATGTCAACCCGCTGGGGACGCTGCTCACAATTCCTGCATTTGAGATGCGGAATCAGCCAGTAAGTTACAAGTACTCTTTTGACATCCTGGGAAGTTCAGCCAGGTGCTTTCCAACCTCGTCGACCACCAGTTGCGAGCTTGTTTCTGTTTCACTCAGCCAAGGAACTCTCTTCCGTGCCATGAGACCTTCTCATCCAAGATCTCAGCTTGGGCCATGAGCCACCCGTCTCCGCTTGCGGACTCTGGTCGATCCTCCGGGCGCCAGTAGTTCCTCGGGGCGCACGGAGGTGGGTGAAGTCCTTGGGACGAACTGGAAGTTTTGACTGGGCGCAGCAGGTTCACCCTTGGGGAGCGAGCTCAAGAAAACATCAGGCAACAATCTACCCAGCACACCGTATTGGGCTAGGGATCGTAGGAATCCACCCCAAATACAGTATATATATATATATCTATCTATATATATATATCATGTCGTCCCAAGCATGCCCGTGTTTCTCACAGACCAATGGGTAAGACTTTACTTGGCTGCACCTTGCAGTGGACCCCAGCTACCCAACAAGAGCAACATGAAAGTATGCCGCATGCCCAAATTTCCTAAGTCTCCCAGGAATGATGTATGGAAACCAATCGTCCAAGGAGTGAATATCTATAGCTTGATGGCAAACCATAGCACCGGTGGTGATGAGGTGATCGCATGTATCGGGCCAGTGGCCTGGCCCGGTTCTTCGAAGCTTGGATTCGGGTTGGTCCCTATATGAGAGGTCACCGAGGAAATCAATATAAATATGATAATAAAAATCACAAATCCAAACCTCAGGTTCATCGACCATTGAGACTTCCGCAAAAAGAAAACAAAGATACAACTAGTGTCTGTTCGGCCTGCCAAAAGGGCCGAGACAACGACAGGCCGTTCTAAAGCCCTCCGGTGCTCACAGTCCCCAGATCCTCTTGCAAATTAGAATCCGCCCGGTCACTAGGGCGATGAACAGGATTCCCATGCCTTGTTGCAACGGAGTTGGATCTTGTTGGTTGGATCTTGTTGGTTGCTGGATAAATATTATTCTTATCCAGCCTCAACACTATGCTTCGTTTCGGTCCCCAAGACACCTTTTGCGTTCCCCCAACAAGTCGCAGACGTGACTCCGAACTGCAGCGGTCGGTAAGACTGGCGGCACTAAGAGGTGTTCATGGAACCACATGGTGAGCATTGGGATGGAGAAGAAGACGGTTTGAGTTGGTGCTTCAAAGACTTGGGACATGGGATTTGGATTCAACATGTTCACAGCTTGGGACTCAAGACTCCCGACTCGTGCTGGACATTCCGATATGAATCGATATGATCCAACGTTCCAAACAGTCCCTGATGGGACGGCGTTTACCTTTGGCCACGGCATAATACTAAAAGAACCCAGCGCCGCACCTTTTGTACCGCGAGGGGGCTGGTGGCTCGAGACGGAAGCGAGGGTCGGTCGCTGCCTCGGGAGTGTCGCATAGCGACCAGGAACCAGCCGCCAGCACTCGCTCGAGGACACCGTTGCCGTACTGCTTCGTCAGGCCATCTGATGGGATCTCACGACCCGGCACCCACCTTATGTATCCTGCTCCCGGCTTTTCAAGGGCCTGACGTAGACAGCGATGTCCACAATGAGCTTCCGGTCAGTCGGGGTGTTGTCCGACTGCAATGCATCATACGCCACCTTGGCGTCCAAAACCAAAAAATGCCGCCACTTGCTCGCCCAGTACTTCCATGCGTGCAGCTCGAAGTCCTTCATCACAATCTCCGCCCATACTGCACGCACGTAGTCCACATGCTCATATGCAGTTGCAGCTTGAGACAACTCCGCAGCCATGGAGCATCTCACCACTCGCTGGAGCTTGGAACTGGCGCCCTCCAACAAGACAATGGGCGCTGGCCCCTCCAGGATCAAAGGACTTGCAATCCCCACCAAGAGACCGCCTTGACTTCCTCCTTCAGGTTGGCTTCCATAGGCCGCGTCACTGATGGACAGCACGATCATCTCTTCAGGGGGCAGTTCAGCTTCACCACCTTCACGATCATAGACTTCTTGGCCCTCTTGACCACATGGTTCAACCAGAACAGAGCCCGAGGATCTTGCCGTCCAGCCAGCTGTTGACAGTGCGATGCAACATAAGACAGGTCATATCTGCACTGTCTTGCTGCCCAATTGATCTGGCCGATCACGGAGCTGATGTGCTTGCGCTCGGTAGGAGTCAGTGGCCTCTCCAAGTGGAACCGAAGGAATATCCTTGCAGTAGTCGTCCATGCAGTACTCCACCTCCTTGGAGACAGGATCCTGCCTCTCATAGCGTCCACAGAACTTGACCCAGCCGTTGAGCCCATCACGACGATCACCAAATCGAAGCCGTCGATGAAGTTCCGTCCAAATGTGCTCGGCCGATGGTGCTCCAGCATAGCGGGTGTCATCCACATGAATGCATGCCATGCCAATGAGGTTGCCCGTCTCATCGTAGAAGCAGAAGAACCCTGGTAGTAGGCGAAGTTCACGTCCACCCAAGTCTTGGAGGGTCTGGCGGTACTCCAAGTACCATAGACGCGGGCTCTCTGGTAGCCCAAAGCCTCCTTTGGTCAGTCGAACGATGTCTTGGCGGCAGCCCTGTCCAATCATGCCATAGACCATAGACCTCCTCAAGGACCTCGGGAGGGTATTGAGTCGGCAACCTGACATAGATCTCTCTCTCGGCAGCCAGCGGTTGCCCTTGTAAGAATGCCGCACTGACATCTTCATACACAATGGTCCACCCCTTCTGAACCGCCAGGAACACCAACAAGTTGTGCCCAACCAAGCTCACGGTCGGAGCTGCCGTGAGGTGTTCTCCGGCCTCAGGATCACGGTGGCCTCCAAAGACCCAGCGAGCCTTGAGCAAGGCTTCCATCAAGGCCTTGCCGCCCTTGTTGGTGAGCACCATACGAGACGGCAAGATGTACCTCGGATCCACATATTGACCCAGGGGAACGCCCGCAATTGCTTCATGCTCGATGTATACATGGAAGGCCTTCTTCAAGGGCTGGATGTAGGCCAATCGCCAATCTCCGTCAAGTTGATTCCAGTTGTACTCCAGCCTCTCCTTGCCCGTGATGATCTCGCCCCACAACATGCTCTTGGCTTGCTCCTTCACCTTCTCATGGGCCGCATCGGTCAACTGCTGCACTCGAGCCTGAGTCGATGGTTCAGACCAAAGCGCCTTCTGCAGAAGCACTTCATCCAGATCCTTGCCGGCCTCAATGGTTAAGAAGTGGCTTCTCTCTCCAGTCACTGGTTCGGTCTGAGGTGGGCGTAGTTCCGGATGCAATCCGATCGGCCTGGTAGGACACATATCGCCGGGCGCCGGAGGAACCTGCTCTCCCAGCATTGCATCCCTGCGTCTGTGGACCTCCTTGGACTTCAACTTGCCCACCGATGTCCGAACACCCTTGGCCTCCTGTCTCGTCTTCCTCAACCTCTGAGCGGCCTCCTCCAGACGATGCCGTACTTGAGCTTCTTGAAGTGGAGACGGGGCGCCCATCTGCTTGGCCAGGTTCTCAAAGAGTCGTTGTTTCTTCTCAAAGGGAATGCTGTGCGGATCTTCTTCACCTGCCTCCTTCTTCTTGCCGATCTGCAAGGGCACATCATGCATGAGGCGCTTTTCGAGCCGCATCCTCTCAGTCTCCTGATCCACTTCCATGGGCGGCTCTTCCTCCTCAGCCTCACCCTCGTCCGAAGAGCTTGAAGACGAGGACGATGAATCCGCCTGCGCGCCCTCATCATCCACCACCACTCTCGCCCTTCCTGACGTGAGCTCCTTCTGCAAGTCCTCGACTGCCTCCTTGATAAAGTGGCCGCTGACCATCTCATCGGGAGTGGCGAGTCTCACCTTCTCCAGTGCAACTGACTTCACACGGCCCTTCAGTCGCACCCACACTCGCTTGGGCACCTCCTTGTCTCTCTCAACGCAGATGACGATACCAGGACCTGACCAGCTCACGTTGTCTTGCATGCGTCTTGCCAAGCCTCGACGATTCGCAGGTGGGTCGTAGATGAAGACGGTAGCACCCTCCTGGATCAGCTCAAGCTTTGGTGGTCTCGACTTAGATGCCAGTGCCCGCCTGAGGGTCTCATGTGAATCAATCCAGTGAAAAGCCTCAGCCGCTCCAACACGGATGCGTTCAGCCCGCTGAAGCGCCTCTTCTCTGCTGATCTCCTGATTCACCACGAAGCGCATTCGGCCAGAACACAGCTGATCCATCAAAGAGCTTGGAAGGAGAGCTTGTTGTCCAGTTACAGCCTGCATGGGAGAGACTCCACCTCGGTTGACCAATCGGTTCTTGGCTGCGCAGGCTGAGGTGACCGCCATGCGTATCTCATCTAGGCCAGCCAAGTTGTGGCTTTTGGTCATTTTCATGACCATCAATTTCAAGATGCTTCCATGGCGTTCTGCTTGTCTAAGCTTCCATTTGGCTCCTTCAGGGATCACCTCGTGCAGCACCCCCATGACTTCATTCAGGGTATCCACCGTGCCTGCAAACTCCGTCCCCGCATCTGTGTAAATGACATCAGGGGGACCGAAGATGGCATACCACTGGTCTCTCAGCACGGATGCCGCAAACGTGGATGACGGATTCACACAGGCGTCGCCCACATGGAAGGTGGTGAGGGCGTCCAAGTAGTGCACCGCGCCATACTTGTCGCCCTTGCTGTCCCACACGTAGAACGAGTCACCGCTGAGCATCTCGTTGAAGTATTTGGCCTTTTGAGCGGACACTTGAGGAGCATCCTTGGGCGGGTGTACCATGGCACAGATTTGGCACCTCAAATTTCGAGCCGCACATAGAATTTGTTCTCCGGCGCCACTCAGTAGAAGCATCCTCACCAATCGTTCATTGGACACGTGGCCCAGAGATGAGTGCAAATGTGCCACCGCTGCGCGAATGCGCCGAGGTACCTGCTGCCCAGCACCATCATAGGTGATGTAGCCATAGCGGTCCGCGGCTACTCCCAACTCAGCCATTTGCTTCCTCAGCTCGGCCTCGGGAACATCACCAGGGTTGACGGCGCAGCATTCCCATCGTCGCACATCGTCCACCTCTTCGCACAAAGTGACGTGTGGCTGCTCACCATTCTGCTGCAATGAGACCTCGGCACTGTCAAAGATGTGGCCGCACAGGCCTGACGGCCACTCACCTGCCAGTTGAGAGCGATTGACCCACTCACCCTCAAACATGACCTTGCCCTCAATCACCTGGTGCTCTCCAGTGTCATGCATGCATGTGGCTCCCCGTCGCAATGCATTGGCAAACACTGGGTCATTGACATCTAGAGCAGTCCGCTTGCGATGAGGCTTGCCATTCACCCTGTCCTTCAGACCAAAGCGACACTGGTCAAGCTGAACACGATGGCAATGAGGCCGCGACTTCATGAAAGTCAGATTGAGGGCTTCCGACAGCCAAGGTTGCTCAGTCAAAACCAGCCGTCCTGCTTTATCTTGTTTGTCCCATACCCTTCTCGCAAACCGCCAAAGCGGTAGATGCTCTGACCTCTTGAGCTCAACCTCATCTGCATCACATAGATTCATCCAGGAGCACCAGGGGCCACAAGGCATACTCAGTGTCACCAAGTCCGGCTCCATCACCTCAATGAGATGCATGACATTCTCCTGCTCGGCCTTCAGCAAAAGGTCATGCCCGAACACGATGTCGATAGGAGACATAGCGTCCCACTTCTTTCGACGGCGGCCCACCTCCGATAGCCGAGCCACCCCCGCGAAGATCTCGAAGACCAGAAAGCGATCCTCCTTGTTGGCCACCTCGTTGACATAACTGGCCAACGCCTGCACCCGGGCCGCACCCTGCTTCAGCCGCTGGACATCACCTCGCTGCAACTGCTTTACCCGAAGAGAGGGTAAACCTGTGGGCTATTGAGTTTCTGACGAAGAGCTCCCACGTGGCCCCATACCCAAGCCACCTCCTTGGCATACAGTTGACTCAGCCATCGAGGATTTCTCTTCCAGCGAGCTCCCGGATGTGAGGTCTCCACCGCCAGCTTGATGCGTGCCTGCCATAGCATCTTCTTCCATAGATACGTCAGCATCTTGGAGCGAATCGCTCCGGCCAGATTCAGCGGCATCTCCACACTCCAGGTCATCGATAATGATGGGAAGTCGGCGTGCATCCCGGTCAGCGCCTTCTGGTTCTCCCGCTTGCTCTTCGACTTGGCCGCCTTCTCCCGGCGCTTGGCGATCATCTTCTTCTCTTCCGGTGTGAGGTCGCCATCCACCACACTGCCCATTCCGTGTTCTCCTCCTCGTCGGGCACCGGCACCAATTGGGCATCCTTCAACAACGATGACATCGGAACCGGAGCTGCCTTCTTCTTCTCCAGCGCCTTGCTCTTCGTAGGCGACGCCATGCTCTGAGCCTTGAGCTTGCGGGCCATCTCCGTGTTGTCGCCATCGATCACCATGTCGAGCATCTCCTCCTCCTCCAGGGCCTCATTCCTTCGGACGATGACCCACGTCCCCACATAGTTGGCATGCCCTCATCACTGGCTCGCCCTTCTTCCCAGTGCTGCCGCTCGACATGAACAGTAGGCAACGCTGAACGGGCGTCAGGGCGGGCGCTGTCACGATTGTCGGGCTCGAACATCACAGCTTCGGTCGGTTGAATCACATAGGCTTCAAAATCCTCTGGCACTTTGAAGTCCGACGGAAGCGAAGCTCGGTGCTCTTCAGTGAATTGATCAATTGCCAACAAATAATGTCCGTTCGTGGCTCTCGACAGTCCGAATGTCTTCACCTTCATCTTAACAGAACTACATGTGTGGTTGCCACAGTTGATGCTCATGCCCAATTGACTACATGCATGTCGTGATAGGAGAGGAGGACAATGTCCGTGAACCACCGAAAAAGCCAATACTACATGACAAGTAGCCAACATAGCCTCGAAATGAACCGAGTAACGGCTTTGAAGCGACTGGCCATTCCCGAATTGAAAAGTCTCCTTCTCGGGGAAAACTCTAAACCAACGATCTCGCTTCTTCCATTCGGCCAGGAGCGCATTCATCCATTGAGTGCCCACTACCGACTTGACGCAGCCCAAATCTAAAATGATATGTAAATGAAGCTCCCGGTGGCACCAAAAACTATCATGACCCGAAGACGTCAGCGCTCCTGGAGACCGCCCCACACCAGTGCCCCTCATATCGCGATCCAGCTGACTTCGGCTCTGGTGAAAAAAGTGCAAAGAGCAGCCAAGGTGGCCCACTCACTGTCATCGGTCTTGGCGCCTGCATTGTTGACACCATGAGTACCCTTCTGTGGACACTCCCTAGACCAATGACCAAGTTCGCCACATTTGTGGCAAGGAGACGTCTTCATCTTCTCGGCCAAAAGACGCTTTTGTTCATCGGCGTCAGGCCTTTTGAAGTACTGTCTCAACTTCTTGACTTCCGCAATCTTCTGGCGGGCCTTGAAGTGCATGGCAAAAGCTTCATTCTCAAACTGCGTCAACTCGGGTGGAAGCTGCTCCTCGTCCAGGTTCTCTTCTTCGTCAATTCCCCAAAGGCTTCCACCATCAAAGTCCATAGCGTGCGCATCCTTCTTGTTTCGTTCCTCTCGTTGCACAAGGAACTCATCGCCACAACGGGCGGCGACATTGGGCTCAGATGAACCAATTGCAAAACCATGTCCACCGGGGCGAGCTCAATCATGGAATTGGTGATGGCCTCTTCACTGTCCGAACCGGCGCGTGTCCGGATCATCACCTTGTCGCGTCGGGTGAGGCGTGCACCGTCCAGCAAATGTCCGGTGAAGAAGTACTCACCCATCTGCATGTCGTTGTCCAAGGCCTGCAACTGTGTGCGATAGATGCTACCACGGGTCACGTAGGACTCGATGGACTCGCCAGGCAGGCGTCTGAGTCTGAGCTGCATCACAACTTCTTCCGATGCTGATCTACCTTGTGCCGATCCAACTGACGGATGATCGGCGACTTCTCGAGTGTTTGAAAAATGATCTGCAAGCCATTCTTCTGGTTGACATCAGCATTGGACAAGTGGTGCACCAGTTGACCTGCTCGATCTCGTAGTTGAACCATCACCCGGGGACCTATCAGCTCGTCCGGAAGAGAAGCGGCTTCACCACCAATCCAAAAATCCACGGCCCTCTTCCACTCCTTATAGGACTCACCTGGCTTGGCCCGGAAGATGGGTGGATAGCTGGAGGAAATCCGTCCCTTGCGATCACCGGCTGCGCTCTTCTCCTTCTCTTGTCCGGCCGATGAGGGATCACCTGATGGAAGGTCTCCTGAGGCATCCCTCCCATGTGGTGAGGTGGGTGACTCACCTCGTAGTTGTGACTGGCTATCCAGTCGCCCCGATGGAACATCACCGTCGCGGTCTCCCCTTCCGTGGCGGCGATATTCTCCCCAAGGGTCACCTTGTACCCGTCCGTTCAACGAGTGAAATACTCCCGAACGTTCCCGGCGTCCAGAATCGTTCCCTCGAACATGAACCTCACTCCCCAGAACCGCTCTGTCCCTATGCCATTCATACCAAGCATCCCTCGGCCTGGTCCATTCCCAGTTCTCCGACGACTGTCGCGAAGAGCTCCATGCACCGGATCCCCAACTCCAGTTTTCGTTCGACTGCTGATCATCTTCAGCATACCAGCTTTGACCCTCCGAGGAAGACCACCTCTCGGACTCAGGGTCCCCCACATAGTGCCACTCCGGGCCAACAGCCCTTTCCTCCTGAGGACCGACCTCCTCACTTCCACTCCAGCCTTCCGATCTTGCCGAAGATCTCCCCGAGGATGAAGTCCCCTTTCCACGGCCCAGCCCCATGCTCACCGCCATGGTCGAGTACGACGGCATCGACCCCCTCGCCCGTGCGCGCGCCCCGCCACCTAGCCGCCGGCCTACCGCCCCTGGATCAACCAGAGGCTCCGCTACCACTAAAAGAACCCAGCGCCGCACCTTTTGTACCGCGAGGGGGGCTGGTGGCTCGAGACGGAAGCGAGGGTCGGTCAGTGCTCGTTTTGAGTATAATCCTAAAAACTAAATGGGATGGTCTCTTGAAGGTCTAGGGTCTCCACAATACACTCAGGGTCTAAGAGATTTGATGAGATTTGGGGTTCCTTCCAAGTCAAGGCTTGATCAACTTTGCAACCTCTGCAACTTCTGGGCATGGTCATGGTCTCCCGCCTTTGGCACAACTCAAGCAACATTCAAATTTGATCTCGGTGACAAACAGAACCAATGACCTGATCTCAGTTCATTGAGATGAGAAAAGGCGTCCTTTTGCCCTGAGTTAGAATATTCTCAACAACCGGCCACACATCTCTACTCTATATTAGTAAGGGCAGTCTGGTTTATTGAGCCACCAACTGCAAGCAGCCACACCTACATCAAACCTGGAATGACATGCACCAAAGGAATCCAATAAATAAGGAAAAACACTTAATCCGTAGTCCTGCAACTTCCAGGACTCTAGCATCCACACACCCTCTGAAAAGAACAATGGGCATATTTCAAGTCTGCGCTGAAGTCGGGACCTCAGTCCATACACCATTCTCAGGCAGATTCTCTGGGAAAAGGAACCAAGGTCTGTTGTGTTCCAGCGTAGTTTTGAAGCTGGACATGAATGTCCAGTAGTATAGTGGAACTGCAAGACATCCCTAAAAAGAGTTGGGTGTCTTCGATCCAGAAGATCCATCATGTTACAAATGTTTACAGTTTACAGCACGCTTGATTCTCCCTTCTACTAGCCCAGTGAATACTTTGGGTCATTGTTCTTTTGAAAGTCAAGCAGACCCTACTAGACCCACCCTACCTGGCCCTACCTCTTAATGGATTGGAGTTCTCCCCGTCCCTCGAAACTCCACCGATGGTCCGGATCCCCCAAAAGGTGACTTCACGGGCAAGACCATGCCAGCATCACCCGGGATGAAAAACAGAAACAACCACGGCAGGTAGGTGGGGTCCTTAAACCACATGGCAGAGTGGTGCTCCGTGCGATCTCTCTTTTTAGATCTTTTTAGTACCCTTTCGACCTGAAAACGCTGGTGGTCTCACACCACCAACAGTCCGTGCTTGCTCCGATTTCGCTCCGCTCTACCTTCGCTGCCGTGCTGGACCCGGCGCCCCCGGCCACGCGACCTCCGCCGTACCTCGAAGCGCCAAGCAGCTATAGATGTCGCACTTCTCCGTGTAGCACTTGTTTGGGACTTCGGGAGCCTTGAAAGGCCTGGTGTGACGCGGTCAGTTCCGACGGCTCATGGGTGGTTTCTGGGAGTTCCACCCCGGACATCTGGGAACGGGATTGTGGTTGGTCGATACATGTTACCTTCCTGTCGATACACTTAGCTGAAAGGGTATTCATGGTAAAGATCTATGCCAAGAGGGAAAACCATCTTGCAGGCGCCACCCGCCTTTTCTCGAAACTCCGGCGCATTCAATTGCCCACGTGAGGTGGACGCTATAACCAAAAGAGTCATTTATGTATGTTGTTCCTTCTTTTCCGGAGCGACCTGAGGTTCTTTTAAGCGTCACCTGCATGTGGAATGAGGTAGTGTTTGGAGTGTATGTGTGTGGCTACTCCATACATAGCCATTAGGGATGATCCTCCTCACACAAACAGGTGAAAGCATGATGAAACACCGAAAAACTCCACTTCAAACTCTTTGGCACACCCAGTCGCAAAATGCGTCCCTCACCACTGGAGCGAAGTCGCCTGAATGGCCCGTACCGATGCCTGGTGCGTACCGATGCCGCGTGGACCGAAACAGGCGCACCGTGCCTGGTGCCAACATGGTCCACCATATAGCCACCGGGTTGGAAGTTGGTCGAGAGATTGAAATCCGCCAGCTTCCAGCGCTGACCTCAGAGGCGATGCTTGAGCTGTCGAAGCTCCTAACCTGTACGAGAACCAATGGCTTAGTGGTCGTGTGACGATCAAACCAAAGTCTGCTTCTACATGCAAAGGGGTGTTCACTGCACCTTCAAAGAAGTCATCACCTTCGCCCGTTTTTCAGGAAGCAAGGCCGTGGAACTCAGGGTTTGTCATATGCACATGACATTTTGTTTGGAAAAAACACACTTCAAAACAGGTGACACATGGTGTCACTCAGGTCCTATATGTCCTTTCTTTGTCCTCGATTCCTTCCGTAATAGAGTCGCTGAATCATGGCGATCTCAGCGATCTACAGCGGCTACAGCTCTGGTCCCTACCCGAGTGAACCACAGCTGTGCATAAGATATACGAACCCCAGTAGCGGACGGTCATGGGAGATAGCAGAAGGCGACGAGTACCAGGGGGGGAAGCCCAGCCAAAGCGATTTGATTCCATCTACTACCCCCTGCCAGGTGGAAGTGTTGTGGCCACCCGGAGATGATCCGGCTGTGGGGTCAAGGGGATGATCCGGCTGTGGAGTCCCAACGTCTCGATTGAAACATTCACGAAATGTAGGAATGAAGTGATGAGGAATATCTGGACATCTCTTTGAGAATCTTTGAGATCAAACACCCATCCCATCTGTTCACCATGCAACAGCACCAAGATTGGGGACCTTCAGAGAAAAAACGATCTGTCGGCATCCCATCACCAACTGGTTGGTGGTTTCAACATGGTTCAACAAAAACGAAGGAAACATACTGTATTGGTCAGTGCGTTCAATCATCCCAACGTCAGTGGGTTGAAAAAGAGAGCAGCTCATCGCTTCAACGTTGGCACTTCAGACCACCTGTCATGCCCAAAGGCCAGAGGCTAAAAGCACATTGCCAGGCTTGATATCCCGATGTGCCACGCAGTTCGCATGAAGGAACTTCACCGCATCCTTGATTCGAGGGCCAAATCCTCCAACATACTATATATTTATTTGGGGGTATTTTTGTTGCCCCTTAGACCAGCAGCTGGAATCGGAATACTATATACAATATCTAAACTGTGCTATAACATACTATCAGGTATAATTACTGCATTTACTGCCCTGCACTTAACAAAGTCAAAAAAATCACTTCCCTTATTTTTGACATGTTTAAATCTCCCTATGAGTTGGGGAGAAGGCTGGGATGTCTGGATTGAACTCCCCAAACATAGGGCACCCCGTGAAAGTCACAGCTCTCTCTTTAGGACCCGTTGTGATTCGGTAGGGCATGGAACAAGCATGTGCTCTTTAGTACCATCCGTACAAACTTACAGCAGCAGTGCTGTTATTGAATCTCTGTCTACAGTCTACACATTCAAGCAAGGATATGATTCTCTAGAACATGTGGAAAGTCAAGTCTCTGACCACTGTTTGGACTTTCGGCGGATGATATGTTCTTTTCTTGCTGGTCACCCTGATTGAAACTATTTATTTTCAACATGCAGCTGCACTTAAGGAAATCAGTGCAGTAAGGGGAGGGCATGCCATACCCCCCCCCTTAGGGAGGTCGGTATCGCTACCGACCTCAGTAAGCCCATGGCTCTCAATCAATGGGGCATGGTTTTTGCATTGATTTAAGCATCCCTGAATTATTTTCACCTGCACTTAAGGGAATCACATGGAGGCTTACTGCAGTCGGTAGCGCTACCGACTGCACTAAGGGGAGGGCATACCAAGCCCTGTCACTACTGAGGTGATTTCCTTAAGTGCAGGTATGAAACTTTTTGAATAGGTGAATTATTTTCAATTCTAAGTTCGGATTGGGGGAGATGGTCCACTATCAAAGGAGAGAGTATAGGAGAGAGAGGGGCGTGACGCCTGGCTGCCTGACCGATTGTTCATTTAACAGCCAGAAGTGAGCTTTACGGCTACAGGACCGTTTGGCTGCATGACAGATCTCCGGTTTGGCTGCATGAGGGTCTCCTTTGCCCTTGTCCCATGGGCAGGTTAACCCACCTGTTCTATTCGGGCTTTAATGTTATTGATGGATTTTATTGGATTCATCATTGAGTACTTCCGAGCTGCGGTCCCAGCAGCAAGTATGTTTAAATGCAGGAATGAAATTTTGACATCGTTAAGTGCGCCCCAGTTTAGACTCCAGGTATCTAAACTGTGCTTCATCTAAAAAGCCGAGCATCCAAGACCTGTCTCATGGCCGATTGGATGTCAATGCAGTCCTGAGCAAGTTCCATTGGTCCATCCAACCATTTAACCAGAGCTCCTGGTCCGAACATAGAGGTCCCCGTACCAAGAAGTGTCAAGCTGTGCGGCGATGCCCAAACAGAGTTCCTTATATATGTGGCTGCTTAATCAACACCCTTGGCTATCCGAGCTGTCTGTCTAGTCTACATTCGCTATATATTATATGATATTGCTAATTAATTAACGGGCCAACGGAAGGGTCATATCACTTAGCTTCAAACTTGTGAAAACAAATCATGTGTTTGTTTGTCAGTTGCAAAGTGGTGATCAGACGGGTGCCCCATACCCATTCACTTACTGAACCTTGGATCAAACACCAAATGCCCGGCTTGGGAACTCGAGAAAAAAACTCCACACCCAGTGCTAGAGAGGTACTGGCTTCTGGAACCCGACCCACATGTCTTCCGGCGTCCACCCTCTCATGTCGTCGGACGGGGGTCAGCCCGTCGATCACCTGCACTCGGATCAGGACGGTGAGATCGATCAGGATCGGAAGCAGTGGATCGCCACCGGATGGTAAAATAGCAACTGAACACAACTGAACCAGAACCTTTGGCCATGAATGGCCCCTTTTTAAACCCTTTCTTTGATGCCTCTTTAATGGCTATCTACATGTAGGCAATCTTTCGGAACAACTGGTAGAACACCTCTCAGCTGGTCACAAGTCCTCGCGGCTATTCCATCTCATTCCCAGGCCCACGCGCGTTTGCCTTACTCGGCCCAGAAGCTGGTCGGATGTAGACCTTGTTGGGGTAACTGGTCGGAAACATCTCGTAGTTTGATTGAATGTACTCCTTCATGCTCCCCTTTGGGCATAGCTCCAGCACCATATCCAGTACAACTCCATCTCTAAAGTACGCGTCGTAGATCCTGACGATGCCCTCATGCTTCAACTGGCCAAGCAAGTGCACCTCATTCTCACAGTAAGGGTCCTGGCGGTGTGCTCGACTTGAATCACATGACCATAAATTAATAAATACCTATGTCACGTTGTGCCGGGCCCGGCACGTGAATGTCGGCCCAAACGAGTCACGACTTGGCTCGTCACGAGACGACCGGACGGACCGGACGACGTCGACGGACGAGCGACACGGAGACGACCGGATTCGAGGGGTCCTTTTCTAAGGAGACTTGCTTCCATGCAAATCGCTTGCCTCCACCGGTCTTCTTCTTCACTTCCTTGGACCCCAAAACCGGTTGGTCCAGAATGGACCAGAGTGGCTGGGGCCGGCTTTCAGGTTCCAGAAGGCGGTAATATTCGGTGCTATTTTGGTTAGGGTATGTTAGGGTGTTCAAACTGGGGCACGTTCTTGTTCGGGGGCAACTGCTGAAAACAAACAAAACTTGAAAAGTGAGTCAAGCTTCTTTCACTTGTCCAAATTCTCCGGAACCCAGACTCCTCACCACCGTGTAACTCTCTTCAATGACAGATGACCCACGAGATGTTGTGGATACAATTGAGATGGTCTTATCCACCGACATGGCAAAAATGGAATCGGGAATGAGATACGAGACGTATGGAGGTTGCAGCCTGCTGTGTGGAATCTAGGCCCGTGTCAGCATGTCCAAGATTGGAACAGATGTGAATCATGAACCATCGGAGGTGTTTCAGGATCGAGAACAAACACCTCCGCATCATATGGAGGTGTTCCTCCCATAGAGCAGAAAACTGGCCGTGAGGGCATCCAGTGAGCCAGGGCACAGAGGTCTTTTGTTGCATTTTCGGCGGTCAAGATATTCTTGGATCATGTGTTTCAAGGAACACCCTTAAGAAACTGTGAAGAAAGAAGTGATCCAAGGGTATCTTGACCAAGGGTATCTTTCTTGGGCAATCGACGGTCCAGTCTGACGGTCTCAACCCCCGGACGTATGGCAGCATATATGATCTGCTATGTTGACTAGGTTATCATAGACTCTTGATTAATGAACTCCTCCATTTGGCTTGTAAAACTGAAGAACTTACAGTATACAGTATACAATAGCATACTCCATGAACATCTGCTTGGCCTGCGGTTTTCCATTTTATAAACAAACATGTTTATAGAAGGGTAAAACGGTAAGACCAAGATAGAATCACTATCAAATGAAAAACCAACCTGTTTATAAAATGATGATCTCTTACAGGCATATGTTCCTGTCAGATTTCTTGAACATCGTTGTCTTTATTTAATGATCAAGCAGACCTCTGTAACAGTCGATAGCCCAAGATTGATCAAGCAAACTCATGATGTGGAGGTCCACATGTTGCTTCTACAAGGGGGTACCAAATTACCAAGGCCTTTGTCCACAAACGGTTCATGGACCAAACAGCCTTTGAATGTTTTGTTGATCCCCAGAGATGATGTTCTAGAAAGCTTCCTTATAACATTATATTTCCAAATCTTCAACACCAGCGCTCTGCTTATAAAATGACTCGACCGAGTTCCATCTTAGCAAAGGTGAAACGTTCAACGTCTTCAGGCAGCAAAACCATGCTTTTATAAAATGAGAATCCCACCTCTGATTTTGGCACATACCCATTATATTCTTTATAATATGGGGGTTGGAAACTGCATTTATAGAGGCAAAGGATCGACAGTTTAGAGTGGCATGCTAGTGGAGTATACAATAGCTAGTATATAGATTCTCCTAGCTCACAGGGTTTTATTTAACACATCCAGAGTCTACATATAATTTGGATTCTCCTGACATCTCCTGACCGACTTAATTTTGGTCGATCGCGACAACAATACATTTATGGAAATTGAACACTTTATACTATACACATCTATACACCCTAGGGCCTAGAGATCCAAGTACCCTCCAAACCTACATAACAATGTCTCCAATCACCCTCTGAGATGGTACTTGGATCGCTAGGGACACAAAAACACCATGGCCTTCGCCTTCCAAGAGCGTGGTGAATGGAGATGGAAGGAGGATCCTGATGTCTATCAATCCCACTCGCTCTACCCTTGGACCCTGAAAGACAAATTGGATCTCTGCTGTTACTGTTTTGGAGCTTCATTGAACTTCACTGAAGCTATCTCGAGCTTTTTGGGCCGTGCCGAGCAATGAAAACTCCACCTGATCGGTGGAAGAAACTGACATGGTGGAAAGTGGCGCAACAGGCTGTCTTCTCTGTGTCTTCTCTAGTTACCTACAGTTTCTAATCGCTTGGTCTCCAAATTGTCTGTTTCTTGTGCTGTCAAAGGAGATCCAATAAGCATGGAAGGTGCCATCGCATGACTCCATTGAAAAAACCATGGTCCTTTACAGCGGACTCTCCACCAAAAGCGTCTCGACTCTCTCAAGATCTCACGAACACGGCGCTCTCTGCCTCTCTGCGGCCTGCAGAACAAGAACCCTCCGGATGCACGGACGGAGATGGCCTTCTTTCTTCAGCAAACACTGGACTGAGCGAACACGGCCTCCATACAGGTCCAAAGGCCTAGGTCCCAAACACTGCTTTGTGTCTCAACGCGAAGGTAGGACCCTCCACCCGCTAAACGTGTCTCCAGATGTCTCAAGGTGTCTCTTTTGTTCCGCTTCAAAGGGTATGTGCATCCAATAGAAAAGGGGGATCATACAAGAACACTGCTCAATGAGGTAAAGGACTAGGCATATAACAGGGTCAGACTGGACCTCTAGGCTCAAGGTTCTCGACATCATTGTTGCTGAAGGTGGTTTCGTGATGCGCAAACTTATTTGCCCAATTTTCTGCAGTGGTCTATAGGTCTGATGACGACTTGGTCTTGAGACCGGGTTCGGTGCCGAACGGGCACGAAAAAGGACAACATCATCCTCTGCAAAACAGCCTGGCGCAAACCTACACAAATACTGTAATTACTGTAATTTGGCTAGTTCTCACTCACTGGCTGTCCCTAGGTAGGAAATGGGTGCGATTGGAGTGATGAGAGTGTCTGAAAGACATCATGGTGGTCCCAAGGAATTTCATCACCATTTCTGATGGATCTGCTATACTTTATTTGACCTTTTGGGCCACCCTAGACTGGACAAGTTATATAGGAACATATAATTAGGAACTCTAAGAACTCGAGCTGGTCAGCCATTTCCTCAACTTTCACGATGTTTGGATACCACATCACGGGCCTCTCATACGCTTTGAGTTTCTCACATGGAAGTGGAACACCACCAGTCGGTCCATGTTCTCCGATGACCGACAGTCATAAGGATTTGTCACGACCAGTTGAGAGGAGTCATAGCATTACCAAAAATAATGTGGTCATTTGGGATAAACTCCAAAAAGCACCGACTTTGAGCATCCAACGCATTACTATTGGCCTTACTACTAGTAGCAAATAGCTACTAGTAACAATGCACCTTACTACTAGCAACAAGAAGCTACTAGTATATAGCTCCCGCAATACTACCAACGAACACCCGGGACGAGTAACTCGCACCCGGACGAGCGAAGTCGTGCACCGTGCACCCTGTCCGCCTCCAGCGTCCGCGTGCGTGGAGGCCCATCGCCGCTCGGGTTATGGGCCTGGAGAGGCAGTCATCGTGAAAGGCTGTAGTCATCAACTGCAGCAAGTCCTTGGAGGATTCGTTATAGTATGCAGGGCCCACAGGGCTGCTGAAACTAGTTGTTGGAAACAACCACTTAGTGCATACCTGTAGGTCATGAATCTGGACAACTCTGTTTGGGCACCGATTTCCAGCGCCGATGGACACAGAATATCTGATCAGTTCCACTCGCATTGATGTTATAAACACAATTTTTGTAAAATGCACCAGCTTCTTGGCTGATACCTTCAATCCTGCAACTGAATGAAGTTGTTCCCAAATTGGGCTGACACCTCAAGAGGTTTTGATGATAGTCATTAGACATGGCACGGAACATGGCACCTTAAAGATGTCACAAAACATGGAGGTTTTGATTATTCTGAAGCAAACGGGCAATACATACTACATAATATAAACATATGTAGGGTAAATAGATGTAAATAGATACATGCACTCCCTGAAACAATAATGGACGTGGAGAACCACCCGCTTGTAGAGGAAACAAATTGTCATCCAAGGGGCCATTTTCCACTCCCACAAATACAAGGTTCAGTTGGAAATCGGAATCCTGAAGCTTGCCAGCATGTTGCCAAATTGTTAAGACAGTTTGTTCAAAAAAACAAGTGGTAGAGGCAATGATTGTATTTCCTTCTCCACACAGGGGTGCCTAGTCTAGAGATTCCCTAGACACGAACCGACGAAGCAACATCCACAAAAAAACTCTTTCAGCAAGGGCAATCGCCAACATCCTGTTTTGGACCAAACTGTTCATGCCTTGAAGGGGAAAGAACGCGTAAACAAGCAAGAACACCTTAGAACTGAAAAACTCTTGTCAAAATCAGGCATATCTTATGCCAAATATCAAATTCTAGATTCTATATAGGTATTCTTGGAAAGGAACTGTCTTGGACTGGTCTGATGGGCAGGTGGTGGGACCATTTCTGTTTCTGCAGTGATTCACTTAGCCAGGATTCATGGCCAGCCAGGGTGAACCGTTTATATAAGAATAAAACTATTGGTGATTGGTCTTCTGAGACTTTTTGGAGCCAGAGATTGAAAATCCGCGAATATACTATTTCGATGTTTACACCTGAGAAGCTGCAAAATGAAAGCCAGCATTGTTTGTCCACGAGCACGTTGGTGGTATATTTGGTCAATTGAACATAGAACACCATTGGACATTCGATAGGCATCCCATATTTTTGTTAACTATCCTTTTGCCATCCCGGGGCCTTTTAGTTGAAGACAGATAGTAACGTGTAGCGGTAGTTAACCTGGGGCCGCGCGCGCGTGCGCGCGGTCTGCCCTAGATTTAGGCAGTTGCCAGATATAGCACTTCAATTTCCTTCTCCGTCAACCGCTACCGTGACAAACGTGCAGCAATCCACGTACACAGGGTAGCTACAGTTCAGTGACCAGGTACAGCACTTCAAGTTCCCTTTCCGTCAACCGCTCGATACCCTTTAGAAACGCGGAGCAATCCACAGCTTTGAAGTCTCATTCGTGCTTGAATTTATATAGGTGTGTAAGAGGTATAGCCACAAACCATGTATACGGACCGAGGGTAGCTGAAAACTGTTGCCAGGTATCGCGCTTCAATTTCCCTACCCTGGGCCCGCGCGCGCGCGCCTTGCGGGCTCCGGGCTGCCCTAGATATAGGCGCGCGCGCGGACCCAGGGCAGCTACAAAGCAGTTGCCAGGTGTACCCAGGGTAGCTACAATTCAGTTGCCAAGTATAGCACTTCAAGCAACCGAAGTCAATTGCATTTCTTCAAAGCACAAAAAAGCACCTCCAAAACCTTGCTTCCGTGCACCCCTGCACACCACCTACTTTCGAATCTCAGCTGGCGCCTTGCCAGATATAGATACCCAGGGTAGCTACAATTCTGTTCCCAGGCGCGGACCCACTGGGTCCGTATAAATGCTATGTTGCTATACCTCTTACACGCCTATATAAGTTCAAAGCGCGAATGAGACTTCAAAGCTGTGGATTGCTGCGCGTGTGTAAAGGTTATTGAGCGGCTGACGGAAAGGGAACTTGAAGTAGTATACCTGGTAACTGAATTGTAGCTACCCTGCTATACCTGGCAAGGCGCCAGCTACACCTTACCATTCAAATGATGCAAATGATGCAAATTGCATTTCTTGCATCACCACCCCCTCAAAAAAAAAAACCTCCAACACAACCTCAAAAACCTTACTTCCGCACACCCCTCTCCCCCACCAAATTTCGAATTTACGTGGTACTTTCTCGGGCCACCCCCCCCAGACCCTCTACTTACTCACTTCGTTCGCCAAACACGACTCAGCTAGCGCCTTCTACGAAGGCTGGCTTTCGTAATTTATCATTTTGGTATCACTCGGAGTTATCATTTACTTATTGGATCGTGTATTTATCAATCTTTACTAGCAATCGTTAAACCTATTAGACACTCCAAATACAACTACTTTGTACGTTTAAGTTTCTACTACTACCGAACTACTTGGGAACGACGCCACCTGGCGCCTGGTGTTTTCGTGTTTTCTCGATTCTTCTCCCCAGTCAGGCTCCGACACGCATGCTCGGACCCTCTTTTTTCCACTTTCCAAAACTACTTGCGTTTCCACACTTTTGCTAGTGCAGAGACATTTTCCTGGCATGATCCGCGGAATTTCTCGCGACGGAACAGCCACTGCCACACACGCACTTCTAGCTTGGTGGAATGCTTTGCTTTCACACCTTTTCCTTCTTTTTTACTGCCATTTTGTGGCAGCCAGCTTTTCAAGCTCTTCCAGTCAGCATCAAGAGTTTGAGTGCCCGCTTCTTTTGACAAGGCACGGCCATCCGAAGGCACGAAAGAACTTCCCTCCGAAGGCACGGCCATCGGCCTAGAGTGGATGGCAACAAGGTCCCAAAGTGGAGCCGAGACATGAAAAAGCTTGAAAAATGTCACCATGAGACATGGACGGACATGACCGTTCTTTCTTGTCAGATCTTTGATTATATCTTGCCAGAGAACCTCGAAGGAGAGTCCAGGATCTCAGTCACCGAGCTCAGCGCTTCGAGAACATTGTTCTGCCGACCACACCAGCCTCAAAATCAAGTCAGCGTTTTCCCTACAAGATTTCACCCCGCTGACTTCCACAGCCAGGAAACGCTTGAACTGCTTTGTCCACGGAGAAGGAGGGCCGTTCTCAACGTGCCGCAAAAAGGCCACCTGTCACAATCGTTCAAAGCCGAACAAGCGTAAACGCTGGTCAGCGTGAGTTGAAACTCAGCGTTAGTTGAGATTATGTTTCCAGAGTTCTGGAGTCTGTCATGAACAGAGTTCTGTGCGCGTTGGACAGCCTGCCTCATCCGTGTCTTCAGAGGCGCGCTCTGCAGGACGCTCGCGCTGAAGCGACATTGTGCCCCCCGGAAGAAGACGTCTGGAAAAAGTCAACAACGCTGAAACTAAAGGTACCAAACGTTGTTGAGTCACCAAGTTATGTTCCCAAATAGCCAACCAAAGACCCAACAAAAATTCTGCGTAATCCGTCAAACCCTGAAAGTCCAAACACCAACGGTCCTGGTCTAAGGCTATTTCGAGGGTCAAGCCAACCAGAGGATCACCACTACGAAGTTTGGAACAAACGAAAGTGAAGTCGTCCAGATACCCCGGGTGAACACGAAACCAAGGTCGAAGAACTGTTGGTAACTCGTCTATGTCCTCAAAACCCCCCAACCGCAACAAAAGAACCAAAGCAACACACCAGAAAAAAAGGAAAAACGGCTGCGGCATGTCGTCCCTGAGCCAATTTCGGCATGCATGCGCGCGTAAGTTGCATGTACTCATGTGCGAAGTGTAAATGTCAACGTGCATGCAACGAACATTCACATATGGGTGCTAGAAAACAAATATGTCATTATCCCCAGCCCCCTCCCCCCCACCCCCCATGTCATACCGTGCGCGTGGTAGCGTAGATCATGAAAAGAGGAAAAACGTGGTAGTGTAGATCATGAAAACAGGATAAACGTGGTAGTGTAGATCATGAAAACACGAAAAACGCGAAAAAATAGCTAAAAATACCAGGCGCCCGCCAGCGACGTTGGCAACTACTTGCTACTATTTATCTTTGGCGACTACCACTACCACTACTACTGCAGGCTATGACTACGACTACGACTATCTCAAGTCACTAATTGCTTGTACTTGTACTCGAGACTTCTTTGGCTTCTGATGCACCCTCCTATTACTACACTACTAGTCACTACTCCTTCTTCTTCTACTGCTACTAATTGCTACTACTCCTACTGCTACTACTAGTGGCTACTACTACTGCTACTACTACTCCTCCTGCTACTCCTGCTACTACTAATACTACTACCACTACCACTACCACTACGACTACTACTACTACTACTGCTACTGCTACTGCTACTGCTACTGCTACTCCTACTACTACTACTACTACGACTACTACTTATTTTGCTTAAAAAATCAAAACTACTACTTGTACTGCTCTACTTGCAAGAAAGCAAACTGTCAAAACGACAAGACAAATCGAGAGAGTGATTAATGATAAGCAAAAACACATTATAAAACAATGTTAATACAACAATAAAACAACTTACAGCTACGATGTGGACACAAGGAACAGCTCAGCTGCAGTACAGTACATGACAGCTAGCTAGTAGCTAGCAGCAGCTTAGCTTGGACCTGCCCGCAACAAGGTGCTTTTCATTGTTAGACAACTGTCCTGACCCTAGCTGGTTGACCTCCTAGTGAAAATGGTCTATGAGTCAAGATCAACTATGCGAGGAGACGTCTCGGCTTTGGAGCCAAATTCATTCCACATGCGATGTGTCCGTGTGTGTTTTGTCTTCTCGTTTGTCAAAGAGCAAGGCACTGGTATTGTTGCGGCAGTACATCGATGATCAAATGAAAACAATTGTTAAATAAAGCAAAACGGTAAAACAACCTGTTTTTGATGTCCTGGTCTGTTGCCCTGAAAAACTCATAAGTTAGTCACAGTCATAGTCTTGAGTACTCTCCCAAACATGTGTGGAACCTTAAAATAGACCCTGGGAAGGCTCCTTTACTCTACCAACCAGTGCTTTTCATGTTCTATGTTGGTTTTCGCGGGTGTAGATCCACGGTCTTTGCACGGAGTTCTGGATACGAAGTTCATCACCCTCACACCAGCTCCACACCCACCCCATTTCTCGGCCTGCATAGCCACCGGTACCACGCTCCGCCTCTTCCTGGGAAGCGTGCCATGGAATGAACATACAGAGTCCCATCCGGAAAGCTGGGACTCTGTAGAAGTCTGTCCAGAAAGAGACATGTCGAATAAGGTCAGATCATCAAGCTGGTAAGGTTAGGAAAAAATCACAGGAATCAACCCTCTGGCTTCTCGATTGGCCTCTGAGCAAACTTCCAAGCAACTTTTATGCTAACTCAGTCCACATCCCATATCGTTCGTTCTAGAAATCCCAAGACTCTAACCGATCATCCAACTCTTCCACTTCTTGTCCTTTCTGCCACCCCCCCCACGCCTCCACTTCGTCACATGCGGTCAACACGATGCCCATGAGCTGGGCGCTCCCAAAGGCCTGGTGCCATGCTCCCGGGTGGCATACGTGTCCGTTGAAACAGGGAATGTCCCAATGTTGCAAGGAATTCCACGCCACCCAAGAAACGAAGGTTTGGTATTGAATGGTTTTGAGATATTTGATGCCACGGGCCAATATATTTGAAGTGGGATGGAAACCATTCCACAGAAACCCGAAACGTGGCTCGGGTCAGACTGATTCACAGATTCACAATGGTTCCGAGACTGTGAACAAAGACTTGTATTTGCCACAGGTCCAGTCACCTGAGAGACACGCGGTACTTTGTAGGGTAGGGTTTGATCGGGAAGAAATTGTTGACATGCGAAATGCTGATAGTAAACTAAGTAACAAGCCTAAAATTTATAAATATATAAGCAAACATTATATAATTGTTATATATACATAAAAATACTTATAATAACATATATTAATATAATATATGAACAAACACATATATATATATATATATTATATACACGTGTTCATATAGTTTACGCAGTTTGCGTCAGTCAAGCTAGCATTCAAACAGCCTGTTTAAATCGGAGCTCCCTTCAAAGGTTGTTGCAAAATTTACTTGTTCATGCGAGTGATGGGTAAAGTCTGTGGCTAGAGGGACCTCATTCTGAACCAACCAGGAGGGGCCAACCCAAACCACAGATTTTGTCGAATCCTCAGTGTTCTTTCTCCGAAAATTACTTTACTTCGAGTGATCCCCACCATGACATGTCAATCATGTGTTTTCATGCCATGGTCAATGCCATGGTGAAGAGCATGTTTCCATGGTTGTGGGCTTTGTGGTGCTCGATCCTGCTTCTGGCTGTGTGTTTGTGATTGTGTGTTTGTGATTGAGTGTTTGTGGTTGTGTGTTTGTGGTTGTGTGTTTGTGGTAGTGTCTGTGATTGTGTGTTTGTGGTTAGGTTTGTGGTTGTGTGGTTGTGTGCTTGTAGTTGTGGGTTTGTGGTCGTGTGCTTGTGGGCGTGTGTTTGTGGTTGCGTGTTTGTGATTGTGCTTGTGATTGTGTTTGTGGTTCTGTGTTTACGATTTTGTTTTTGGTTGTGTGTTTACGACTTTGTTTGTGGTTGTGTCTGTGATTATGTGTTTGTGATTGTGTGTGTGGTTGTGGTTGTGGCTGTGCTTTTGGTTTTGTGCTTGTGATCGTGTTTGTGGTTTTGTTTTGTGTTTGTGTGTTGTGGTTGTGCTTTGTTGGTTGTGTAGTGTGCGCTATATGTGTCCGTGTTTATGTTGTGTGGTTGTGTGTTGTATGTTGAGGTCCGGTACTGCCCACTGTGATTGGGAGCTGGCGGTTGAGGTCCAGCAGTGCCCACTGTGATCTGCAGGTAGGGAAAAAAAACCTCCGAGCGACCTCCCCCAGCTCAGCTCCGAGTTCAGGTCCGAAAGCCATGGCCTTAAGCCCACCAGCATCCAGACCCAGCATCTCCTGAGGACTTGGAGCCCTTGGGGACGATCCAGAGGTCGTTGGGGAGGAGCAGTTAAACCATCAGCACCAGCTGACCTTTTCCCGGCCGTTGGTACCTACCTCAGCACACCTAAGCCGCTCCGCCAATGCCAGCTGCTCCACTGAAGTCACTGAGTTTCACAAGAGGCAAAAGGCGAAGTGAACGGCATCGCTGGCGATACAGGACTTACACCACCGCATAGACGGTGCAAACAGATCCAGTACCGAAGTATACCCCCCCTAAAAACTCAAGACTCTTGGCTCAATTCCCAAAGATCTGTGGCAAGCCTGATGTATAAACCAAGCCCACTTTGGGAATTGAGCCACGGGTTCTCAGGGGGGCTGTGCAACAACCTCATCAACAGAACACGCTGAACACTTTGAACAAAAACAATATAATGGTCAAATAGTCATGATGCAGCCCTCCTCCAGTTCTTTCCGCAGGCGGGCGCTGGTGAAGGAACCTGGCAACACGTTTGGATGTGCCTGAACCACAGAAACAAACAGAAATCATTTCCCACTTTGTTTGACGGATGCAAGTGCCAGTCCGTGTGGGTGAGAAGGGTGGGATTTTGCCAGGTATTTGTTTGCATGGACAAGTGAAAACATCAGGCTACAGTCGGGGATGGTGGTCTAGAGTCTAGAGGCCTGGGAAGGCGTCAATAAAAAACCCTGAGGCCTGGGGCATAGTGCACCGACATGCACCGACCGTTTCTTTCAAAAGGACAAGGACTCGGAGCAAGGACCGTTTCGTTCGAACATCGCATGTTCGGCCCGACAGTTTTGGGAGTTCGGTTCCTCTGGGGAGTGCATGAAGGTGAGGTCAAACATAGCAGCAATTGTAAGAAACACCACATCCTGACCTCCCCTCAGAAGTAAGGGCAACTTTTTCCTTGCAAACACTTCCTACAATTGACCAAAGTATGTGGGTTACGCACTTCTAACCCACAAAATCAACACACACACACAAAGCGTGCAATTCCTTTCACGGGTGGCGCACCGAGGTCTGCTTCGCGCTTGGCCAACATTTTTGCTGCCAGAAAAAGCCTGCAGCGCTTCTGCGTTTCGGTTTGACGAGGTTCTTGACTCAACGAAAACCAACTTTCCAAAGATTGTCCCCTGTGAAGCTCCAGTTCAAGTTGGGTCGGCCCAGCTGGGTCAAATAGTTTGCTTCATCTTGCAGCCCTGGCACACCCTCCTCCTGCCTATGATTGAATATGAATATGTGTTTTTTCTCGTTCGTCGGCGGGCAAACTCCCGCCCTGGCCGCTGTTTGCTCAATGGAGAGCAAACTCTTCAAAAGTGGAGAGACTCGAAACTGCCTGCCTGAAATCCTCTTCGGGGAAAAAACGGTGTTTTGGGATGTTTTGGGCGTAATTTGGGCGGCACATGGCTGCACCGAGTGGTGAAACGCCGCCGATGTGGTGAAAGCCCGGACCATCACTGCACAAGGAAACGGATTATACCTGGACCGTCTAAGAGGGGTGTCCAAAACCTGGAGATCCACGTACGTAGTTGTTTGGGGCTTCCAGCCAGGTGACCCCGTGTTCCAGAAGGTGCTGGTAGATGGTTTGGGGAATTGGGATTCTCATTCAAGTTGAGCCAGAAACTCCGAACACGGCTGACTCCCGCCCAGACCGACATCACCGGGCGCCTTTCATCGGTTAAGCCCGAACCAGGGACCTTCGGGTGCTTTGCCTGGCTGGGTTTGACGAAGTCTCCCAGACATGATGGGATCCTCATGCTAAAGCATGGTAAAACTCCACCAAGTCAAGTTATTAAAAAAACACATCAGAACTTGCATTGCTTTTGAAGCCTCCTTAGCCCAGCAGCTCGGGTGCACAATGGGAGCTGTCCTTGGGGTGGAAGTTATTGTCGGTCATTCTTCTGCAGCAGTGTGTCACAGCACACGAGTCAGCCGGCGGAAAGTTCAACCATGGAACAAATGGAACTGGATGCAAGAAGGTGTTAAGTGCAAAAGTTCAAGAGATGGCAGCTATCAGTACCAGCAAGATGATTTACTTGAGGATCATGTGAGCGCGCAGCAACAAATGTTCTGTCAACAAGACTGGGTCCTACCGTAGGTGGACGAACTATTCAAACCCTTGCAGAATTCACCCCCCTACCCCCCATAGTTCAATGTTGGCCTGTTTGTGAAGGAGGTTGGCTTGAGTGGACGAATAAAATCAAACCCCTGACAACAAAACATCTTGTCACTGAGACAACGTTGAAATCGGGGGTGCGGGGGTGGTGATCTACCATGGTGGTTTAGGGTTCGATTAATTTGTCCATCTACTGTATCATTGAATGGTCGTGACATTCCGTGGCATGCGGCATAGCACAAAACTCGTTTGACCAGTCTAGGAACCGCAGCTGAGAACCAAATCTTCACAACCTTGCGCAGGGTAACCATGGGCCAACCATGGGTAAGGACTTCTGACACCCAAGCAAGTGTCATAAAGGCGCACACACACACAAATGGACAATTGCATGGCATTGAAATGTAATGGAACGGAACATCAGCCGCCTAAGTCACCATGTGAGGCATGAGTGACGTTATGTGGTTCTCAATGGAATTTGGTACTCTGGGATGCAAGCTGTCAATAGACCTTCAAAATTATTCAATTTAGCCCCCCCCACCGTGGCTGCCCCGAACCTAAGAAGTTCTGCAATGGTTCACTGTCGATCAGGATTTTTTTCACGTCCAACCCATCTCCACCACATGTGTGACGACACAGTCCGGGCCGTTGAAGGACTAGGGTCTGGGTATACGGTATATGCTGTATATATCCAATTACCAGGGCCCAGGGGATGACGATGTTTCGGTTGGCCTTTCTCTAAAATTTCGATTGATGACCGACGGTAATTGGTTTACTGGGACACACCGACCCAAACTAATCCCAAACTATATAGTATTAATCAAACCCCTCCACATGGTTCTGCTTTAAGTGTTTTCCCATGAAGTTCCTCCGACAAGCTACGCAGCTCTACCAAGCTGTTGGCAAAGAATTGGTCCCTCCACGTCCCTTCTCAGCTTGAGCGTCCCTCCCATGTGGCGAAACAACTCAGTCACGTCTCGATCTCTGGGACACCTCTGAGAGACCTCCCGCCCGGACCCCGGCAGTTCGGACCCCGGCAGTTGGTCAAAAGACGAGTCTGCAGTTGTTTGATTCAGTCAAAAGGCCGCTGAAACATCCGCTGGCTTTCCGGGGCTCACCCACTCCTTGGGGCGGGCGCATTTCGGTGGAATTCGTCACGAAAGTGGTAGGAATGTCCTTCAGGAACGCATGTGGAAATCCCATACTCTTCTTCGGGGTCTCTGATCGAGAGACAAGCACCTTTTTTGTTGAAAATGGATGAGATATGATGAGATAAAACATATGAAAACATCCTGGGCTTGCCAAATTGTCGTTTGTTGTGCTTAGGTGCGTCTGGTTGCACTACCAAATTGATTTTTTTGTGTTCATTGGGCCCGTCAATTTAAATGTCCAGCCGACGCCACTGACGTTGTTGTCCATTGCGATGAGCACATTCCATTCTCAACAAAGAATCAGTGCTTCTGCGAGCGAAGTTGGGTGAACATGTATCAGCTAGCCAACTTGATTCGGATAGTAAACCATGGCTCTTCCCAAACGAGCAAGCTCGGCCCCGGGCGGACAGCAACCCCAGGCATAGGTCAAAGCTTTTGTGTGTTCGATCTTCGAACCCGTGTTTTTTCAAACAAACAAACGACTCACTGTCACCGTGTTCACAAACACGAGAACTTCTCCAACCTGGCTCGCCTCAGGAACTGCTCAACGACCAGACGGCAGAGAGAAAAAACAGCACGACAAGTTCGCCGTGTTCCGAAACAAACGCAGAAAACAACATCTGCCGCTGAACGACACAGATCCATCACTGGATGCAGCGGTCGAACACTGAATGCACCCCACTTTGGCAACCCTATGATCGCATGACGAGTGATAGCGTGTCAAAAAATCTGCCATGTCCTGTGGTCACACAAAAACCCAGGTCCAGGTGTTGTCCATCCCAAGACTGATGGTCTACAAACCAGCAATGTCCACTGTCCACATGTTGGAAGATTCCACCAGAACAAGAACCGCCCTTTTTGTATCAAACCGAGCCACCAGCGCGGCTAAGCGCCGCCGCTCCGCCGTTGCCGCATCGATTTGACGCAGCCTCGGAGGGACTGGGGTGTTTCACGCCACTCTATCTGAGGGGGATGAGGGGATCAGGGACTGAATCATGTAGACTCTTAATTATATATTTCACCCTCCATAGGAAGAGGTTGTTCAATCCAATTGGGGTGGGTTAGATTTCATCAAGAGTCTAAAACGGTCAGGGTCTAACGTCCTAATAGTCTGTGGATACGACGCATTTGCAGGTGCCCAGGACCCAAGCAATCCTGTTGGAGAGTGTTAGAAAAAACACCACGAACTGCAGGTGTCCTTGCGTGAGAAGGCCGACGCTGACACCGCGATATGTCAAGTGCCATTTTGGAATTATCACTCTTTTGGGAAGATGGAGTGTGAAAACAAAGCATTTCCACTTTCCACGGTGAATACCTCAGACTGCACTCACATTTTTGGAAGAATGTCCATGCACTTTTGCACTTGCTTTGCAAGGTCAAGATACGAATGGCTTAGGAGTGACTACTCTCACTCCTTGCCAAGTGTTGTTGTCATTTATGCTCAAACAAGTGACTCTTTCAAGCTGGAAACAGAATTACACCGGCATAGACCCCAAATAGCGCGTGTATCACGTGCCACAAGGCAGAACTATTACCACAAGGCAATACATGCATCATTTTGTCGGACATATGAGAGGACATCGCCCCTGCCATGCATGATGTCATCGCTGGCATGACATGATGTCATCCTTGGCATGACATGATGTCAATCTGGGCATGACATGATGTCATCCGTGGCATGACGACATGATGTCATCCCTGGCATGGCACCCGCACCAGCACCTGCACCAGCACGCCTCCAGAAAACGCCGATCCAGCAGCACCAGCACGCCCCAAGCAAACGCCGATCCAGCACCAGCACCCGCGCCCGCTAGCAGTGCCGCACCAGTACCAGCAGGCCCAAACGCCGATCCAGCAACAGCACCAGCACAGGCAAAACGAAATGCCGATCCAGAGCCACATGATTGAGAAGAATGCCTATAGCTTGCAGCTATCTGGGATTTATTAGTCTCAAGGGCGTTTCAAACCCTTTTTGGGGAAATGGCAGGTGGGTCCTCTCTGGGTCCTCTCCATGGCTTTTCGGGACATGTGCTCCAAACCTGCAGAGCAATTACATATCGCCAAAGTAGTTCATTGCTCCTCACTTGCTTTGTGAGGGAAACACCTTCCAGGCATGAGGGCTCCACCAAAGATTTGCCCTTTCATTGAAAAAAAACACATATGCCCCTAAAACTTCATTTATGATTGCATATTTGCCGTGGTTTGGGGGGGATCAACGTAAGAATATATTTCATACGCGGAGAGTCTGGGATATATCATTACCATTACCTCAAGCAATGCCGAGGTGTCGCTCAAAGGTCATTGGCTCCGTTGCACCAGGCAGGCAAAAATGGAATTGTCCAATAGAAGCCGCGACAGGTTGCCACTGTGAGAGGCTCCAGCAACTTGTACAGAGGCAACCGATGTTCTCAATTATTCCACTTCTCATCCACTGCTTCCGCCGTTGATCTCTGATGGCTCTGATCCACTCCTTGCCCTCTCTTCTTTCCTCTGGGCTGAGGCATCTCCACAAACACCAGCATGCATTAGCGCTTCTTGGTTGCCTAGGCCTGGCCGCAAGTCCAGTCGGTGCCAAACCCATGTTGGAGACCACGGCCACGGTTTGAACTTGGCGGCATCCTCGCTCTCACAAAAGCCAGTGCTCGACGCTGCCTTGGATGCACCGGCCGTGGCCTTATGCAACTTGGGGTGTGAGATGCCCTCAACAGTGTCCCTGAAAAAGGTCTTGCGAGCCGAGAAGCTAGCTTTCATACGCCCATCTAAAGGCAAGTGTTCCTCCCTTTGTTGGTGAAACAGGGTGAGGTAAGGTGAGGTAAGGGAGGCAGGCAAGCAGGCAGGCAGGCAGGCAAGCAAGCAAGCAAACAGGCAAGCTCGCAAAGCAGTCATGCAGCTCCCGATAATGCACATAGTTCTTTGGACATACTGAGTCAATACTGAGTTTTTTCTCACCATCCATCTCTTGCATTGCTGGGTCCAGCAAGACAAAGAGATGCTGTGCAGCTTGGCCCTGGCCCATCTCTGATGCCATATGCACTCCACTCGTTTTGAAACTTTCAGAACCAAGTCCAGATGAACCCAGAAGGGATAGAGGGAACCGTCTCTAGAATTCCATGCAGAACCACTTTCCTCCCTAAGGCCCTTCAAAAGCCATACTGAACACTTCAGCAGAACGGGACCGAAAACAGAAGGGATGCTGTGGGGGAAGCTTCCTGTCACTCTCCACACCCCACAAGACACTGCAAATAGCGTGGTTTTGTACATGTAAAGGCACTTGCGACTAGGCAAAGCTTCACTTCCCCACCAACACCCGCTCTCCAAAAACCGTCCTCGAGGCTACGAGGCGCGACATCCGCTTAATGTGACATCTGCTTCACCCGCTTAAATTCGAAGCCCCAGCTTTGAAGCCTGATCCCACGATCTTTGAGAAGTTGTGTATGCAAGTCAGATTTGAGGGAATCCTTCAGGAACCAGGAGGAAAACTGCATACTCGCTTTGTCACAAGCCTTTTCTGAAGCTATTCTGAGAAATGGAAATTCCCGGCCTTCCCGAAGATCCCAACAACTTGGTTGTATTCAAAAAGGCCTGCATCTTAATCACTTGAAATAAAAAATATTTGATATTATGTGTTTTGTCTGAACATCTTACATGTTTTACAAAGAAGCTATAACATATTGTAATGTATTGTATACGGTTGTCAACATGTTTCATAACATGTGCCGACTTGTGTCTGCGTTATCACGCATGTTTTCTGAAACATATTATTTGTTGCGCAAACATGCTTCCAAGAAGCGTGCAACGTTTGTCGAAGACTTGTGTATTTATTTATCATTTGTCATAAGAATCTGTGGGGCGTGACATATTGGCAATGCAATGGTTATTTGCACTGCCTAGACATCATACTGTGAGAATCACGTCGCCGACGAGTGTCAACATGCGTCGACAATCAACGTAGAACCCGTGCCGACGTTCACAATGATTACTTCTGCTTTTAGAAACAACGCATGAGTTGTCAGAAGGAAAAACAGCATCCACAAAACATGAACAGTTGTTTGTTTTGACTTTACAGGCCTTGTTCAATACAACCAAGCAACATCTTCTCCCCTAACCAAGTGACTCAGACCGATCCGCGGCATTGGCGGTGGTCTTGGCACCAGGGCCATTCTGGTCGGACCAGGAGGGTGTGATGCCCGCCTCGGAAGGCGTGAGAGGTCGTGTGTGACGTATAAGATACAAACATGGTTCCCAACTTGATCCAACAACATATACCAAGGTGAAAATACATATACCAAGGCACATACATAGTTCCCAAGATCCCTCCAAAAGCACATGTCGTGGTGAAAAGACCTATATATACTGTATATATAATATATATATATACCAAGGCACCTCGGATATATCCGCAGAAATGGATCACCTCGGATCACCTCGGATCGCCTCGGAGGATAACTATGACACACCCCGGTTCGCCGGGCCGCTGAGCCGATCGTTGGACAGAAAGTGATGTCGCTTCACCTCACCCATAGGATTCCAATCACTATGGATTTACAGTATTGTTTTTTGCTGAAGAACCCTTATTTCAGTAAGGATTTGTTGACTTCAAAACCAGGTCAACCAAAAGATTTTCTATGGTTGAACGATGTTGAATGGAGGGGTTAAGTATGGTTAAGTCACCCACTGAAGATCCAACAATTGAGACATAGTCAACTTAAGGATGACTCAAACTCAGGACCTGCAAGAGCTGCGATGGTCCCCGGTTGTTGTCGATGAATACAGTATATAATTGCTACACCAGTCATTCATAGCGGTGTAGCTTCCAATACGTTCAGCTTCATGAGTTCCAGGATGCTCAACAACACATGACAGGCTCCAACTACCTCCGTTTCGAAGATGGTTATGGTGGGCTGGCAGGGGGGTCGAACCACCGAAACTGAGGATATGGTTGGAGCCCGTTGGGATAATGCTCTTACCTGGTGACCCTGAATGTGAGTGTGGGCGGTGTGGTTACCAGGTGGTAGATCGCAACAGCCCCGACGAGTCTCAAAAGGACCACCACCCCCGAGTTCCACGCCTGCAAAGGAGCATCGTAGTAGGTAATGACCTCGGAACAGCGAAGTCAGCATTGCATCTCGTGAGAGCTCGTGCAACCGCAACACATCTTGGATGTTTTTTGGAAACATGTGGCATTTACCTTCTCCCATGCAGGATGGGTGTTGGACAGGTTCCTCCACTTCTAGAGCACATTGCTTTACGTACTAAAAGGACGGGCCCCGGATTTGGTGAGGTAGTTTTTGCATGACACTCCGCTCGATCAAAGGAAGGATACAACAGACTGTCCAGTGAACCCTGGCAAGATCACCAATTTCTCCAAAGGGGCAATGAACCCAACAACACAAATGCACAGATGGGTCACATCTTCCTTTGACCTAGCATACCGACCTGCAGCCTGCTCATCAGTGGCCAGGACTACTCACTAGCTGCTGCCGGCCCTCTGGTTTGGCCACAGGGGCGCAGTCTGGTCCTTCATCTACCTCGAGGATTGCCCGGTCGCACATCAGTCCCCACTCAGAGCGCCATGCTGCCGCTGACATCTGCGTCCCAGCCGCTCTACTCTTGGTAAGGTTGTCAATCATGTGCTCTTCCAGCTCGTTGGTGGGACCTCTGGTAGGGTGTAAGTGGACAAATCCTTGAACCTTTGCCCCAAGCCTGGATCCTCCACCTGTCGATGGTCCACACGGAGCTGCATTGCTCTTGGTGGTCCTCTCCGCCAAGAGTCACCGAAGCAGCGAAGCAGCGAGGCTTTCAGGTCGTTGAGCAATTCAACCCCCCCCCAAAAAAGAAGTGGATCATGAGCCCATCTTATGAGCCCTCCTAATCGAATCGGAGACAGAACACTCAGAATCGTCAACTTCAATCGTCAAGTGTGTATATAGTATGGTTCGTTTTCGGCCTGGATTGGAAGGAAAACCATTGCAACAATCCTGCACCAGCCTCAGGGGATCTCCACGTCTATGACTCTGTGCCCCCCTGGAGCAGGACTTCTTCACTTCGATGAATTCAATCCCCACACACCAAAAAATTGGCAATTGGCAGTCCCAGGAGCATAGAACAAAACAGGTACACAAGTACACAAATAACATCAACAGACATCAAATAACATCCAAACAATCCCCAAACAAGACTCTTTATAATACAACAAAATTAGTACGAACCCTCCTGCATCAAATTAATCCTTAAACCTCCACGTTGTCTCTAGGTCCCAGTGGCATAACCACGCTCGCCGCCGAAGGCGTCAGCATCCAGGGGCGGCTCGTAGGCCTGGGGGTGACGAGTGACGGAAAGAGTTGGGAAACGCACAGAGGTGCGGAAGTGAACAATACAACCATGATGAAACACATATGTCAGGCCCGTTGGGGTGGTTAATGGACACCCTGAACCGAGGTCCGTGGCAGACCATTCTGAATCCAGTGCAGTCTAGAGGATATCTACTCGTGGGCTCAGTAAATTCAAATTCGCGCTGGATCCGCCAATCTTCTTTGACATGAGCTTACAAAACATCAGCTGAGTTTGACAGCAAAATCCAGCTCCCGCTTTGGTTTGCTCATCCGGATTTTCGGCGGAAGATGTGTGAACAGTGTCAACGTATTCATCTGACAGCAGGATCCATGTTCTTGGTGGTGTCCATAAGCACCCGTGACCACACAGATGTTCAGGCCGGCAAAAGCTCTCACATCGCTTGGGTGTTCTACGGTGTTTTGAATGTGGTGGCTGCGATCGTTGACTCTTAGGGGTCGGTACTTTTTTGTTGGTTTGTTTGTTTGTCTGTCTCTTTCTTCAACCATACTTAGTCGCTCCAGATCAGGATGTTTGTTGCTCGGTGCGCTTTGCTTGTCCAATTGGAGAATGAGGCCTATTCCGGTACATCATATATATATATTATATTATATATGCAGTATACATTGGGTCTATCCTATTACCTGTAACAGTGGATGATGATGGTTAGTAAAGGCCCTGTTCAAAAATAGTGATAATTGTTTACTGACTGTTGCAGGTAAGAACGGTAAGAACGGACAAACCCAAAGTATATATGCTGACACAACTGTCCGAACTGGTTGCCACTCACGACAGCCTCGCCTCTTCGCCTGATACCGTATACGGTGTCTTCGTCTGTCTCGCGTCGGTCTGAGGCGGTCCAGGCCAACAAGGCGTACATCTGATCCATGACGAAATGCCGCAGCAGAACCACCTCTTTCTGCTCCAAACCTGACAAAAGGGAGACGGGCGACGGACCGTTGAGCGACAAAGGATGACAAAGGACGACAAAGGCAAAGGCTTATGTATTCACGTCTTTCTTTTTGGGGATGCGAGGTGAGGGCGGTGGAGATTTTTGGAAGCAGTCTTGGTCTTGGTGGGGCAATTGCAATTCCACGTGGCTCTGCGTTGGTAATTTGTTTAACTCACTTGAACATTATAAGTCAGTGGCTTCAAACATCCCATTTTTGTTCATTTCCGGCCATAGTGGGCTCTCTGACTCATGACTCATGAAGTGTGCATGCAAACTAGCAGGAACGAAACCAAACAACTAAATTAGTGCAATCCTCGGGCGCATCATCTCAAGGCTTGCAAGAGCCGGTGGATCGGCACAGACAGAAGGGTGGTTCAACAAGGTCCCTTCAGGCATGCTGATCCCCATGTCTCTCCGAGTTCGTTCTGAGGCATTCTCGCTGCCGCGAGTTATTGGCCTGTGAGGTAAAATAAATCTCAACCTCACGCAAGCTCTATACCTGTACGGCTAAGTCGTGCAAGTCATGGACAAAAATGTCCCATTCTCACACTCAGGATGAGCTCCATCCACCGCTCGCTCGCTCAAACATCCCAAGTAAAGCTCAAAAATACTACACATGCACTCCCCGGAGCTAACATGGAAGTCAAATTACCCTATTTGTAGAGGAACATGGCGGTTCCAAGGGGCCATGCGATGGCCACGTTTCATCAACCCTGCGCCCTGCAGCTCTGGTCGTCCACTGGCTCCGGCCTTCAACCACTGCGGCCAAATAGCCTAAGCCTCGCGCCACAATCTCGCGCCTCGGACACGGCCACGACAACCAGCTACTTGGTTCCCAAAAAGTTCCCTAGAGGTCCCATAGCCAGAGTCTGACTGAACACATCACACAAAGCACATCAACGCACCGTGTTGTGCATATGACAATGTAGAGAGAGACACAAACCTGCTTTGCAACAAAGATCCAGTCTCTATGTTTTAAATGCCGGTTATTTTTCAGTCAGCTATCTATTCTGCATGATATCTCTATAGTTTAACAATACATAGTCATCCCCAGCTTCCTAGAGCAACCGCGCAAGTGCCGTAGACTTGCAGCCTGGTCTGAGCCTCCGGCATGTAACTTGGAACATCTTTGCCATCGACCTGTGAGAAAGATCTGAATGTCGAAAAAAACACCAACGCTCGCTGTTGGAGTGCGGGGGGGAGACCCACTGTCGAGTACCTTGGAATCCACTCTTTATAGACCGCCTTATTTTGTCGATAAGAACAAGAACAAGAAAAACAACCACACCAACCACACCAACCAACCAACCAACCCACCCACCGACCGACCGACCGACCCACCAACCGACCGACCGACCGACCGACCGACCGACCGACCCACCAACCCACCAACCAACACACCAACCAACACACCAACCAACACACCAACCAACCAACCAACCAACCAACCAACCAACCAACCAACCAACC